TCCACGAGGGCTTGGACACAATCGGCACCACGACGACCCACCAGGCTCTTTAGGATGCCCCCAGAGCTTCCCAAGTGGCTGAGAAGAGACTTCAAGGGAGTCCCAAGACTGCCCAAGAAATAGTTTTGATGGCTCAAGAGGCTTTCGCGACGTCCGCGAGAGGTGGCCAAAAAGGGTACCCGTCGTTGCATAGCTTGGCTTTATTCTTTCGGGTGTGCCCGTGACGATTCGTCTGAGTTGGATCCGCGGTCTCATTATGTCTTCCAGTAATGTTCAAGGAAATTGTGCGTGTCTACTTGAGTGCAGCTGTGAACTGGCCACGGGCTGGGGCGTGCTAAAACCTAAGCGCGCGCGCGCGCGAAACGCGCGCTACCAGCATCGGAGTGAAACGAAGCGACCTACGCTGCTCATTGCATTCCTCCCGCAACTCCGCTCGAATCGTAGTCCTATGCGTTCTTGGAGGAGGAGGAATGGGGAGGGGACGATGCAAACACGTAAAATCTTGGGAAGCCTCCTAAGCTTTTCAACGCCGATGCCGTCTACGACGACGGCGACGACGACGACGGCGACGGCGACGGCTACGGCTACGGCGGCGACGGCGGCCGTTGCAGTGACAACGATGGCGGCGAAAGCGCAGTCAATGGCTCGCACCATGTAGGAGACACCACTACAGTGGTGACTTTGTCAAGGAACTGCGAACAGCTGTGAACTACATGCGTACATGCACGCAGCAATGAACAAGTCTAGGGCGGGTGCTTACCAGAACCTAAGCGCGCGAAACGCGTGCGTGTTCCGAGGGACTAGAGCTCGGAGGCGATTTCCGTGTTTTGTTTTTGGGCCACAGGAGCAGAAGAAGGAGGTGCAGAAGGAGGAGGAGGAACAGGAGGAGGACTCTTCCCCTCTTCTGATCATCCTCGTCTCTTGCCCGAGTGAACCAGCGTCACTGTACAGAACGCCGCCCTTCGCAACAGAGTCACCTGGCTTGCCGGCCCTCACCGGCTTGCCACAGCTGGCCGACGGAGCTTGAACGTGCCGCTAAGAAAAGCCGCTGCCGTTGCATCATAGGCCACTGGGCAGGCGAACCTTGGATCTGCTCGCGCAGCTATCTCTGCCGAGAAAGGCAACCGCCTTGGAGGTTCTGGCCAGGGTCTCGCTGCACAATATCCTCATCCTCATCCTTACCCTCATATTCCGCTCTCTCGTCACCCGCACCTACCCTCACTGGAGCGCCTGTGCGTGGACTGCAGCAACAAAACGACGTTATTGTTTCCCAATAGCCTGTGTTGCTGGGTCCTCGTTTGCAAAGGGCAGTGCCCCGCGTTCCTCCTTCCTCTTCTTCCTTCTTCCCATCCTCATTCCTTTTCGTGTATCATCGGAGTCATCACCATCGCCATGGCCATCAGCATCCGCATCACGATCATCATCATCACCATCATCATCGCCATCATCATCATCACCCACCATACACGCCTCGTGGCCACAGAACGCTCCACAGAAGGTCTAAGTTGTAGGGTTCGCAGTTCGCATGTTCGACAGCAACCATTTCGGCACACTCCTCACGAGGATGGTGGCCCCTCAGGGATCGGGTATGGCCAGGACCCCGGGTAAGGGGACCCGGTTAGTGGTAGGGCCCCGGAGGCCTTCGAATTGGCCAGAATCACTAAACCAGGTTTGCCATACATTCGGGTGACGGCAGTTCCGGTTAGTGGAAATGGGACGGGGGGGCGCCCCCGGTACAGATCATTAAACCAGATTCCACTAAACCCAGTTCTACCAACGCCCGAAGGGAGCTCCACCGAAAGCCCTATTGACTGGATTCACATTTGTGACGGCGCCGAGTTCGGCACACCTTTCACGAGGACCGTAGCCCCCAGAAGTAGCTCTACCAATGGCTGCAGCGGCAGGGCTCGCACGCGTGACGGCGCCCACGTCGGCACACCCTCGCGAGCATCATGGCCCCATCGGTAGGGAGCTCCAAAGTAGGCCCCCGTGACAGGGCTCGCAAGCGTGACGGCGCCAACTTCGGCACACACACACACACACACCACGAGGATCGTGGCCCCATAGTTGGCTCCACAGAAGGCCCCAATGGCATGGGTGCGCATGTGTGACGGCGCCTGCGCACCCCTCACGAGGATCGTAGCTTCCATAGGGAGCCCCACCGTAGGCAACAGTGGAAGAGTTCGCATGCGTGACGGCGCCCGTGTCGGCACATCCTTCACGAGGATCGTGGCCTCATAGGCAGCTCCACCGCAGGCCCCAGCGTTAGGGCTCGCATGCGAGACGGCGTCCATTTCGGCACACTGCTCACGAGGATCGTGGCCCCTTAGGGAGCTCCACCGAAGGCGGCATTGGCAGAGTTCGCACGCGTGACGGCGCCCACTTCGGCACACCACTCACGAGGATCGTAGCTCCCGATGGGAGCTCCACGGCAGGCCCAGTGGCAGAGTTCGCATGCGTGGCGACGTCCATTTCGGCACACCCTCAACGAGGATCGTGG